ATACAGTCTCCTGCTGAGTGTGTATCTGTAACTATGGATACAGTCTCCTGCTGAGTGTGTATCTGTAACTATGAATACAGTCTCCTGCTGAGTGTGTATCTGTAACTATGAATACAGTCTTCTGCTGAGAGTATACCTATGAATAAGTTGTCTCTGTTTGGTCCTTCAAACTGTCCTGCTGGCAGTGTATAACTAGGATTGCACTAGTCAGACCCTTTTACTGTCTGTATCACACTGCAGTGTTCCTGAGCGACAGTACACATGCAGGTATGAAGGTTACAGTCTCCAACAGTCTCCAACAGTCTGTTAAAAGTTATCACTTCAAAAGCGATCACATTCACTATTTGATAGGAGCTGGTGGTATTTGTGAAGCATCAACTGTGTCCAGAGATTTTAAGAGTCGAAACAGCCCAGCTGCTTCTCGAATTCTGCTAAACTCTATACAAAATGCCTGCACTTCAATGAATATATCCTGGAAAAATAAAAAATAAATCAACTTTATAGTCCAGCCAATCTTACATTTTCGCTCAATAGATCGTTAGGTTATTTGCATGAAAGTTCCAATCACCAAATTATTTTGTATAAAATATTTCAGCTATAAGTATACCCCAACTGCCAACAATTTATGTCCTGGGGCTCACTACAAATATTATCTGGTAAATGTGTTTGGCTAAAGTCAATTTTTACCTCAATACTGCAAATGCTTTTTTTTTTAATCAAGCTGCATACTAACATTGATCCTCCACATACTAACATTGATCCTCCACATTTGTTTTTTTAATCAAGCTGCATACTAACATTGATCCTCCACATTTGTTCTCTCATTTTTTATTTTAAACGAAGATCTGTAAATGAATTTTAAAGATTTAATATTCTTCTATATAAATGCTGAGCTGTTAGCTCCTGGTGACCTAAAAACAGAAAGCCATTTTATCTAAAACAACAAGTGAGTTAGGGCTGTATTACCTTGACATCGATGATTTTGTTTCTGATAAGAGACTGTAGGAAGACACAAACAAGCCGAACAAGTCGGTTCTGTAGGTATCGGTCCCGTATTGTCTCACACGTCGATATACAGTTGGAGATGTACAAATGGATAAACTCAGAAGGTAGTTCTACTGCCTAAAATATCAAAACAGATGATAAACACAGAAGGTAGTTCTACTTCCTAAAATATCAAAACAGATGATTAACTTGGAAGGTAGTTTTACTGCCTAAAATATCAAAACAAATGATAAACTTGTAAGGTAGTACTACTGCCTAAAATATCAAAACAAATGATAAACTCAGAAGGTAGT